ATTGCTGCCATCAAATCTGCTACGCTGTAGTTTGATTTGCCACCTCTCGTTTCCATATTCTTCTTTTTTATTTTTATTTTCTGTCCCACTCTCTGACACCAATTTGTTACGTCGCTGGTCGTTGGTTAATTTTCCAAAAAAACTTAGCGATACAAGTCCTTTCTTAATTAAAACTAGTTTATTATTTCTCAATTCAACTTTGCAATACACTTAATTTCCACAGTGTTTTTAACTTAAACACACGCTATAATTCACAACGAACGATTCACGTACTTTCTACTGTGCTTGACTCAATTGTCTGTTCATATCTCTTCAATCTGCAATTATTCATCTATCTGTATATCGTCACTTCTCGCCGGTTTTATATATACGAAGTAGAGGGCGTCTGGAGAACACTCGAGGCTTCACGAACAGACATGATCTTTCTCGAATCTCATGACGTGTTACTAGCGTCACGTGACTTCCGCTGTCGTAACAGTATATAAACCTGGCAGAGAAACCTTACTGTAAGCCTCACCCACCCCATACCTTTCCTAATCTACCCCCCAAGCCCATGCTTCTGAACACCCAAACGAAATCCACCACCGACCAGTATTCTACTGCCCATCCTATTACACTAGACCAAGCCACTCAAACCTCACCCACTCCTGAATCACAAGACATGTCAACCCAAACCACCACTACTAGAAGGAAAAAAAGGAACCCGGACCCAGCCACAAGTCTTTACAGTTACCAACGATGCCTATCAACAAACCAGCAACCTGCCTCCCAGCCCCAAGCCATTTTCTACTTCATCGATTTCAAGCTCACCGAACGCCCTAGTAATTGACACCTTCCCCGATCTTTACCTACCTTACGAACCTTTCTGTGCCTTCCGCCTACTCACCAAAGACACCAAGGACTCCACGCCTTTACCACTTACCTGGAACCAGAACCTATTTAATAAGAAAACCAAGATGAACACCAGGAGACTCCACAACTCATTCAAAAGCTAATCAACCCCAGCACCAGACTTCACTTTGCCTTCCCCACTTACTTCTTCTCGCTAACCGGGCACTGGTAACGAATCGGTCGTTACCAATGAAAGTGGGTTTTCTCGGGGTATTCGGCCTAGGATTTTTAGACCCCCACCACCTTGATGGACCATCAATCCGACATCGGCCATTTAGTTTAGTCTACTGTACTCTTCACTTTTAATTATTTTTATTTTTTACCGTTACTCTCACGTTTACCTTTTTAAACTTACATACCTTGTCTGCATTAATTTCCTATTTTCTCAAGTTAAGCCCATTTTCCTAGACCACGCGCGGGGTGAAGGAGGATTGTTTAATCTTCGAGCACCCTTGATTAATAATTATTTTTTAGAAGATAATTATTTTTAAATCAAAAGAACTGCCAAGAACACCAAGGATAGATATATGAATGAAGAGAGAACAGTAGTTACTTTGAGTTCAGTGTAATTTATGATTCTGTTAGTTTCGTGCTAGTGAGCCGTAATGTATGTGTTTTGCACTCGTCGAGAGCAAAA